TAAAATGAGCAAGTTACCGTCAAGGTTAAGGTCAAGGTTAAGGCCCTTCCTATTGCAATGTCAGTTGCAAACAAACGCATGGCTCATCGTGACAAGACCGCAAAGTTCGTTGAACTTCAATTGTCACAAATACAATGCTTGTCTAATGTTGCAGCATCTATTCAGTTTTTAAGATATCATAACGCGAAAATTAAGATGGATCACCCTGTATATCGAACATGCGATTTTTATGCGCCGCATTGTCGCGCAGAAGAGTCAATTATTGAAATTAACATAATCAATAAAAATGTTTAGTTTAACAGCATTGATGTTTTAAAAATTCATTGTTTAATTTTCCCTAACTATCCCCAAAAAAAGAGAAAAAAATTATCACTGCGACCAAAGAGATTAAATCTCAAGTTATTGAGCGCACATGCACACCAAAGCACGTGGAACACAGGCATAATCGTCGCCTTTCCATCCTCTCGCCCCTGCCTCGCGGACCCCTTGTTAACTCACTCTTCCTCGTTTTCTCTCCCCTGTTCGTCCGCAAAGAGAAGCGTTTCCTCCCGCGCGTAATAGCTAGGCGCGGCTAGGATAACTCGAGTGCGACTCGTTTTAACCGCGGATCGAACTCTCTCTCTCTCCCTCTCGCCGCCACTGCCGTCCATCGTCGAATCTCATCGGTCTTTCCGCGGCCTCGTTCGCGAAATCATATTTTCGTCGGAGCTCGCGGTTCTGTGTGTATATATTACAACGTAATAAGCGCCGCGCGCTATATTTCACCGAGGGTCTCGAGGTCGCGATACGCCTAAAGCCGGCGCGGAGGAGATGGTTAGAGAGAGAAGAAGAGGTGAGGAGGGAGTCACTTCGCGAGTTCGAATTAGCGTTGCGAGGCAATAGCGCCGCGGTCTCCCTTAACTACGCACTTCGCATGTTCTACTATTTCGAGACGCTCAGAAGATTGTTATATCGTTCGTTATATATTAGACGGATATATTTACCATGAAATCTGTATCAAATGTCGACTTTACGATAACATTAATCTTTGGGAGAGAGGCCCTATTTCCCGTCTCGTGCGCCCACGGCGCTTTTCTTCAAAGTATCGGGGAAATTTCCTCCGGTATATGAAATTCTTGGAGTGTTTAGAATTAAAGATCTTTCATACACAACCGGCTTTCGAAATCCTTTATGTCGATGAGAATTTCGCGTTAGAGAATAGAGCTGCATTTTCGACCCTCTTTTTTCTTTCTTTTCTTTCACCGTTGTCTTTACACGCAGCCCGTTTCTATTTCAATAGTTGTCTGCATAATGTTGTTTGTATTGAAATGATAAGATTCAGATATATCGGGTGAAACAATCACGTCTCTTTATGGTTGTCACAAATTGGATTTTTGACCTTTAGGATTAGATGATGCAATTTTTAAGAAAACCGATCTCTGGAATCATAATGCGAACCCGTCCTCTTTTTTGTTGATTGTTCTTTTTTCGGGCACGATTCTTTTTTCTTGCGATCCAACAAAGTGAATTTCCGAAAACTCGCGACCGAAAGTCGCGGTTAAAACGAATCGGCCTACGTGACGAAATGCGGCCAGTTTCGTATGTGTCGCGGTACAGGTATACCAATACCTGCTTGATAAATATCACGCGCAAGTACGCATGCGCGCGCACTTGCGATAGCCGGCAAATTTTCCCGTGAACTAAACGAGAAAGTTATTCGCCGTTCTTCCCATGCGAATTTTAATTTCATTCATCTAATCCTTGTTTATCATTCAATTTTTCTCACAGTTCCTAAAGAAGTCAAATTAGTTTGTGTATTTGTCGAACTCAGATATTTAGGTAACGGTTCTTTCTTTGTCTATTTTTTCTATTCCTTTTCATCGATTTCTTTTACAGCGTTCTTGTTCTTTTTTCTTCAAAACCTCTCGCCTGAGTTTCTCTTTTTACTATTAAGGTAAGAAACGGGGAACTTCACGGGGATTATAAGTCATTGTTGACAACCTCTTAATGTGCGCCGCGAGTGGCGCGTTTAACCCCCGAGAATTCTCGTCATCGGTAGTGAAGGGGTTAATTATCTCGTTACTATATCAAGTGGAGAATTTGATCGTAGGTCGCTCATTGAATGATCGCAAAATGAATCGTTGAAATTTCATAAGGAATCCAGTCGTGTCTCATCAAAGATTTTCGTAAATGCGTAAACTTCGATAATCGATTGCTAATCTCAACTACATAAACCGCCTTTAAATATATATATAT